CGACAGCGACCACAACGACAACCACCACAAAAGGCAACAGGCAACAGCAACAGGAAGCAACAAAAGGCAGTTTAACAGGAACAACGCCAGGAAGCAGACAACACATCAAAGACGCTAAAATACGAGGGATGCTCATCAGGCGGCAGAGCTTTTGTGCCACTTACACAAGCCATGTATAGATTTGATATGTTTCAAAGAAAGGAATAGTAGCCTAGAAGGCAATAGAGTTAGTCATCTTTATCAGTTGTGTACATACTAGTTTGTTTTAGAAGGGCAAAGATTCGCACAAAGCCGAACGTGTATACTTGCAACAGGTATGGCAAGTGTTTGGATTGATTGTCCATGATCGCACTGGACTGAATTGGTCCGCGCTTTCGAAGCATGTGTATGCATGAGCGACTTGCCAGAGACAAGCAACTGGAAATTGTTGCAATACCGGGTTATTGTAGATCTGTCCGTTGCTCGGTGTTGCGCAGAATTACCAGCAACAACTGCAATGTGTCATGCTCCTCTTCTCCTATGCATGCTACTGCAAGTAGAACAGAATTCAAGGACTCACATGAAATCATCGTTTTCAGGCTGGAAGGGGGAGAGTATTAAGTTAGATGGTTTGTTTTCAGGGGTGCTGATGTGGTTGCCGCTCCATGCCTCGACAAGCCTACAATACAGCTTACGAGGATGGATGGGTAGTATGACCAGCCATGGCTGCAAATTGAAGCACAGCAGCCGTGCTTATGATGAAAAGGTATGTCGCCACAAGTAGCCTCACGTTGCCCACAGCAGACGTTTGCTCTTGGAATGGGAACTGTCAAGGCCAGCATCGTAATCAAATGGGAGGCAAACAAGAAAGATTGGTGTCCTGCTTCCCTTTCAAACTATCCCAAAAAGGGAATCCTGAGCAAGGACACGCCCAGGTGTTACTTGTTAAATTGCCCCACGTCCAAATCCCATACCAGCAAATAAATGTGCGTTCTCCGCTGGGCATGCGAACTACCATGTGGGCACGGCTTGGAAAGAAGGACAGGCTGGTGTTAGCCTGGGGTTGGCTACATTTGCAGTCATAAGGATCTCAGCTTAGAAAACAGCCACTGGGACAGACACGCAGAACATAAGCAGCCAAGCGGTTGGCTTGCTGTCTGTGTGCCTGCTTTTCTGCGTGCCTGAGCATAGCAGGCTGGCACGGGGCACGTGCGTTTTATGCATGTGTGCGTAGTTTTCGGTGGCTTCAACGCAGCAGTTGGCAAGCTTGCCACCGTGAAGCGAAAGGCAACGTGGGGAGGTTGTGGCGAAGAAAGGGTCATGCGTTTGACAAATTGCACCGGCAAGAGACCCCAAACAGTGTTAAATGCGAATGATATCTGAACTAAAATCATACGTCATACAACAGGTGAGGTAACATGTAAAAAGGAAGGAGGTTGCGAGAGCATCAGTTTCTGTAAATTTCTGGACAGGATCTCTGTGGAAGGATCTTTGCAAGATCTGTGGCTAGGGTCTCTTGATAAGATATCTTGGCAAGATCTGTTCGCATGATCTCCGAGAGAACCCTCTACAAGCTCTCTCTTCAGGATCTGTAAAGAGCGTCCTTTACAACATGAAACCTTGGCAGGTCATGCTGTTGAGTGGCTCTCTATGCAGGACCACCGCAAGATATCCGTCAAGGATCTTTCCAGGATCTCTGCACAGGATCTCTGGGTAGGATCTCTTTTTAGGATACCCTCTGAAAGTGTAGGGAGCATCCTCTAGAAGATCTCTCTCTATTGCAGGTCCCGCACAAGGCCTCGACCGTTTTAATTTGCGGGGGGGATCTTCACAGTGTCCCTGCGCAAGACGTATGGGCAGGATCTCTTGGATAGCAAAGCATCCCTTGAAGGATCTCTTGGACAGATCATGAAAGATCTGTGTGCATGATCTTTGGACCAGATCTTTTGGCACAATATCTTTGCAACATTTGTGCGCAGAATCCTTGAGAGGGTTTGCCGAGACCTCTTGAGAGGAGTCCTTTCTACGGATCCTTCCTGGGCGGCTCTTTACAAAATATTTGCAGAATCTCTGCGCACAACGTCTGGGCAGGGCTTGGCAAGATTTTAGTGCAGGATGCATGTGAGGATCATTTATATACAATTCCTCTGTTCGAGATCCGTAGGGAGCATCTACAAGATCACTTGGACCATTTTTTGCAGTTCCTGTTCAAGAGCTCTCGGAAGGATCCCTATGATGACAGGATCTCTGCGGCGAGATCTCTTGAAGGATCTCGTGGCAAGATCTGTGTGCATGATCTCTGAACAGAATCTCTTGGCAAGATGATCCATGACAGAGCCCTCTATATACTCAAGTTCTCTGTCAGGATCCTCAAGATCTCTTGCAAGTGTATGTTTGCAGGTCCTGTACTTCGATGTTTGTAATTTGCACCGCGCCGCAACGAGGCAAGAAGACCCACCCAAGTCCGCGGAGGGTTCACTTTCGATTGAGAGCAAGTCGACCCACCCAAAGTCCACAGAGGGTCCACGCTCGATGTCCAACATTCGCTCCGCATTTTGGCCAGAGCGATCCGAACCCCGTAGTGTTGACACACTGCTTGGGGAGAACATCCATGTAGCCGCATAGGAACTGGCGCAGATCCTGAAGCGCAATGGCTTTTGCCTGGTGGCGCTGGAGAATCGGGAGGTCTTTGAGGATGACGAAACGGGGCGGTCCACTGACAAAGAAAAGTTGGCTCAGACTCGCACCTTCGGAAAATGCAGTTAAGGTCCAGACAATTTGGGTGCCCAAAGGAAAGCAAAAATCGAAGGGAAAAGGCAACGGCATCATGAACGGGGCCACTGTCAGAGTGCTGCTGCCAAGAGGGCGAGCCCGGGCACACAACGCATACCCTGAGTTGAATGAGTTGAGTTCGTCACAACTCCCTTCCTGGCAGGACAAAGCGCAAATGGCGTCACTCTCGTACCACTCCATCTACGCGGGGGCAATGCCCGACGCTCCAGCAGCTTTTGTTTTTGGCGGGGAAGTCGGGGCCCCATTGATGGAGTTGCTCCAAGTATGCGACATGGGCGCATACATTCCGAGTCTTGCCAAAGATGGATGTACCTCAGTTGCCCAAAGCCGACCTCTTGACCTTTTGGCATCTTTTGGCGGTCCTGTCTTGTCAATTCTGAGTCTAAGTTCAAAAGGTTAGCCTTTCATTTTCAGGCCCGGCGGCATGTGAGGTACAGATGAAGGGCCTGGTGAGGGCTATGAGAACACGGCCAACACCAGGACTCATTCCTGCAACGTCAGCGTAGCCGCTTGCATTGTGCTCAGCGAGCGCTTTCGACGCCAACTTGAAAGCCAAGATGTTGCAAAAAGTCGCCCGCTTTACGGCAACAATATTGAGAGGACGGATGTTATGACCTCATACTGTCTCCCGCAGATAGAGCCTAAAATTGAAGCGGTACATTGTGGCACGGGCATCCGCAGACGTGGGAGGGGGGCAGGGCTCCTGAGAAGTGACTGTCATAGTTCAACGCGAGCATGCGTCCTTTCTGTTTACCGGCTCACCAGGATCTCCTTGGCTCCATAGGCGCGTCCGCAAGGCAGAGGCGTGCGGTTCCTCTGTTTTGCTGGGTTTCCCGGCGCTTAAGTTCAAGTAGCTTGCTTCTGGTCTTTGACCCAGGCCCTTTTTTCGCACAGATTCGAGGGCCGTCGTCCCCGGACCTCTATTATTGATTACCCATTTGATGTTGTTAATTTGTTTCAATTCTTAAGGAATTGTTCATTTGTTTTTATTATCCAATACATTCGTTTATCCAATGCTCGTCCTAAGAATTATTGGCAGAATAAAAACCAAAATGTAAGTGTTGGATTGGTTTAAAGATTGGTCATATATCCTATAGTGTTTTTTGTTTTTGTTTTTCAATTTATTATAATATATATGAATTATATGGTCGAATTATTATATTTTATATGTGGTGAAATATATTTATTAATTTATATATTGATAATTAAATTACAAAATGATTTATGAATGATTTATATAAAGAGTTTCCATTTTTGATATATTAGATCGTCATTTAAATAATGAATGAGTATTGTTATAAATGATTTGTATGTTATTTATGTATTTTATAAATTGGTGTGATTTTGGGGTTGTATTTTTTGTGTATTGTAGAGTCGTTACAATGGTATGTTGGTCGAATTTGTTGTATTTATATGATTTATTTATCTTATTGTTTTTTTTTCGTTATATAATTAATTTTGCCGAAATTATGTTGGATTTTTTAAATTGTTGTTCGGAATTGTGATATAATTTTATATATTGTTTAGATGTGTTTTGTTTTTTAATATAAATTATTTATTTGGGATTTTTATTATTTTTTTTTGTGTTTTTATCTTTATTTTTTATTTTTTTATGTTGGTTGTTTTTTGGTTGTTTTATTATTATTGTCTTTAATTTGATTTGGAATATAAAGATTATGGGGAACGAAAATTGAATATTGGAAAATCTTATTTTATATTTTCTTAATATATAATAGGTTTTTTAAAAAAAATAAAGAAAAATGATATGAATTATAATATAATAATATAGGAATATAAAATCGGATTTTTGAGACAAAACATAAAAATATAATTATGTTTAATAAAATTTAAATATGTTATGTTAAATCGGATTAATTTAATAATATTTTATATATTTGAATATGTTATATGTAAATAATATATATAATTATATAAAAATAATATTATATTATATATCGATTATTATGATTATTGTTATTAATGTAGAAAAACACAAATATTAATATTAAAGAAATAATAGTAAAGAGATATATAATTTTAAAGAGCAAAATGAAGAAGAAAAGATTATCCTTCTGATATTCGATAATTGGTATTCCGGGGGAATATTGGTAATTAATAAACACTTATTTAAAAATGGTTTTGTAATTATATGGATAATTTGTTATTATTAAAGGGAAAGAAAGAAATAGATAAAAAGATATATGGCATGTTGATATGTCGTTGTGTATTATATATTCTCTTTTATCTCGATTTTTGGCCCATTATTGGAATTCTGTTTTGGTTCTGTTTCTTTTTTTAATTCATGGTTTTATTCTTTTTATTTTTTTATTGATTTCTTTTTTTTTCTTATTTTGGTTTTCCATATCTTTATCTCCTTGTAGTTTTCTCTATATATTATTACCTATCTCTATTTCTCTTTCTCTTTATTGTTTTTATTATTTGTTTTGTTTTTCTTTGTTATTCTTTGTTATTGTGAATATATTTCTTCTGTGTTTTTTGGTATGTTTTTGATTAATATGTGATTTGTTTGATTTATTTATTTATTAATAAGACATATATATATATATATTAGTATTATTAATTTATTTAAAAAAATTATATTATTAAAATTATATCAATTTATTTATATATTGGTAATTTGATATATATATTATTATTATTATTATATTTATATATTTTATATATTATATATATAATTTATTTAGTTCTAATTAATTATTCTATAAATATATATATAATATTATTAATTTTATATTAATTAAATATTTATAAATTTTGTTATTAAAATTGAGATTCATTTTCGGATGTATTTATCAATTTAGATATATTTTAGGATTAATCTTGGGAATAAAGCCAAAATCGGTCCTAATACCCTACTTCAAAATTTAAGAAAATTGGTTATAGGGCTCGACCTTAAAACCTAGAAAAATTAAATTAAATTTAATTCTAAAATTAATCTGTAATCTTAGGATTAATTCCAGAATTCAGAATATTGGTCATAAATCTAACCCAAATAATTCATGATTATATTAAAAATCCAGATTAAATCTACATTGCGAGGAAGATTGAAAACTAGTTCGGATTTCATGTCCTCTCCCAAAAGGCATATAACGATATTATCAGATATTGAATTATTTTATTAATTTCTTTAAATAATATAATTTAAGTATATTAAAATCATTGAACAATTGAATTATTCGATGGTATTAATTAGTTTGTGCCTAATAACAAATAATATTTAATTCTATGATTAATTTCTCGAGCAAATAATTTTGCAAATAATATATTATATATAATTAGTTATTGTTATGGAATATATATTCATAATTATTATTCAAAATATATAAGCGAGCGTGAACGTTTTATATAGATATATTTATTTTTTCCCATATAATCTATATCAATTCAATATATATATATATATACAAAAATATAAATTAATAATATAAATATATATATATATTAATCAAGAAGAAATCTTATAATATCAATTAATCTTTCTTTAAATAAGATATGAATGAAGTAATATTTTTCAAAAAGATCCGAATCTATTTAATTCAATGAACTATCCTAAATATATTTAATTAAAATAATATTAAATTAAACACAAATATTTATTAATTATCTATAATTCTCATATAAAATATATATCAATAAATATAATTATAATTCACTAAAATTAATTATTCTTTATATTATTTAATAATATTAAGAAAATTATATATAATTAAAACAATATATATACAATAATATCGAATTATCATGGTATATTCAATTTAAGCTAAAAATAATATGTAAAAATCCTACATGAGATAAATCCTACATATCCTATATCATAAAGAGAAGAAATAAACAATATCGATTCATAATATATAATTTATCCACATATCAAATTAATTAATTATTCATTCCATATATAAATAAATTATATATTCATTATTAATTTATTTAAAAAATACAAGATATATCTTTCCTATTTTTGTTCATTTTATTTTATAATTTATTCTTATTCTATTTTATTGTTTTCCTTTTTTAATAAAATAATATTTCATATATGTTCATGTGTTTTTATTATTTATTACAATTGTTAATTCGTTCTTTCTTTTGTTTTCTCCTTTTCTCTATCTCTTCTCTTCTCTTCTCTTCTCTTCTCTCTTCTCTTCTCTTCTCTCTTCTTCTCTCTTCTCTTCTCTTCTCTTCCCTTCCCTTCCCTTCCCTTCCCTTCCCTTCTCTCTCTCTCTCTCTCTCTCTCTCTCTCTCTCTCTCTCTCTCTCTCTCTCTCTCTCTCTCTCTCTCTCTCTCTCTCTCTCTCTCTCTCTCTCTCTCTCTCTCTCTCTCTCTCTCTCTCTCTCTCTCTCTCTCTCTCTCTCTCTCTCTCTCTCTCTCTCTCTTCTCTCTCTCTCTCTCTCTCTCTCTCTCTCTCTCTCTCTCTCTCTTCTCTCTCTCTCTCTCTCTCTCTCTCTCTCTCTCTCTCTCTCTCTCTCTCTCTCTCTCTCTCTCTCTCTCTCTCTCTCTCCTCTCCTCTCCCTCTCTCTCCTCTCTCCTCTCCTCTCCCTCTCCCTCTCCCTCTCCCTCCCTCTCCCTCTCCCTCTCCCTCTCCCTCTCTCTCTCTCTCTCTCTCTCTCTCTCTCTCTCTCTCTCTCTCTCTCTCTCTCTCTCTCTTGTCTTTCTGTTTTTCATTCTTTCTCACTCTCTCTCTCTCTTTCTCTCTTTCTCTCTTTCTCTTCTTTCTCTCTCTCTCTCTCTTTCTCTTTCTCTCTTTCTCTCTTTCTCTCTTTCTCTCTTTCTCTCTTTCTCTCTTTCTCTCTCTCTCTCTTCTCTCTTTCTCTCTTTCTCTCTTTCTCTCTTTCTCTTTCTCTTTTCTCTCTTTCTCTCTTTCTCTCTTTCTCTCTTTCTCTCTTTCTCTCTCTCTCTCTCTTTCTCTCTTTCTCTCTTTCTCTCTTTCTCTCTTTCTCTCTTTCTCTCTTTCTCTCTTTCTCTCCTTCTCTCTTTCTCTCTTTCTCTCTCTCTCTCTCTTTCTCTCTTTCTCTCTTGCTCTCTTGCTCTCTTGCTCTCTCACTCTCACTCTCTCTCTCTCTCTCTCTCTCTCTCTCTCTCTCTCTCTCTCTCTCGCTCTCTCTCTTTTGCTCTCTCTTTCTCTTTCTCCTTGTCTTTCTGTTTTTCATTCTTTCTCACTCTCTCTCTCTGTCTCTCTTTCTCGCTTTCCGTGTCTCGTTCTCTTTCTTTTTCTCTCCCTTTTTTTTCTGCGCTTGACCTTGCAAAAAAACGGCGCCACGAAATCTGTGCCCGATTTTGCCAAAGCGTTGCGAGTGGCCTGTGCCTGCCATGGAATCTAAACCTTGTGAAACCTTCGCGTTGCCGTTGCAGTGGATCGTGCGCCGAACTTGCGCAGAGACCGCGCCGAGACCACAAGCGTCGAGACAGAGGCAGTTATCAACCTCTTTGTCGCGATTTCTATTCCCCGCCAGACGCCCACGCATGCTTTCTCGCACGCATTCAGTCTTACGCTTGCTATCTGCGTAGGCTATCTTTTCACATAGGCCGTCTGATCTTCTGCAAGCTACCTGCAAGAGCTATCTTTTCGTTTGCGCTATCTCATTTTTGAAGCTATCTATTTGCGCCAGCTACCTTTCAATTAGTTTCTGTACAACGGAAGTTCCTTCTAAACCTCCTTGATCAAGCCGCATTGTTCCGCAGTAAACGCCGCGTTGACCCGCATTGAGCGCTAATCTGCGCAAATCGGCGCGGATCCGCACGAACCCTCGCGGGTCAAACATTGTTCCGCACTAAGCCGCGTTGATCCATGGAGCCGCACTGATCGACATAGATCAGCACTAACCCTCATTGACAAGCATTGGTTAAAAGTGAATCGAAAACGACAAAGCGCAGCGGTTTTGATGGGGAGGGCTCGACGCTCGGAAGCCGCGTGGGCAATGGAGGTAGATGAAAGGACGGCGTGTCCACCCAACAAATCCCCAAAAAACACGAGATTTGAGCACGGACAAAATATACAAAAATTCCAAGCTTCTGGCCGTCATAATAAAGGAATATGTCGAAAATGTATCGCGCTCGTCCAACCGCCCAAATCCCCTTGTTATTACCAATATTTGGCGTGGCGAAGGATGCAGGAATAACGACATATTTGAGGATTTGTAGGTTTTGTCCGGCCGCGGCCTCCGACAGCGCAAATGCAATTTGCAAAAGCGAAACGTTGCCGCTCCGTTTTATATAATAAAAAGGCATATCTCGTCATTGCAACCACCAATTTCATCTAACATCCAATATTAAAGGATTAGCTTAGCGAAAGGACAAACAGAGAAAATAAAAATAAATTAAGCATCTAAATATGTCCGTTCCTTGTTTTCTTTGTGATTTATTTAGTCATTTTATTTCTATCATATATATTATGTCACAACCAAGGCACACATTACTTTTTTGTTTCAGCCGCATCAAAGTATTGTCTGCAAACGGACAAATTGAAACAAGTTGGGAAAATTCCACGAGTTTCCTCTCTATGAAACCTTATCACCTGGCCGACGTGGCAGCCGGTGCTGGAAACAAAGTACGGATACTCTGAGATCGCGCCTTCCTTCATCCCGTAGTGGGATCTCTGCATCAGTAGGCCTTTTGGGACCAACTAGCAGCAAAGGAAGGACTCAGGTGCTTAGGTCGAACTACGCGCCGCATCCACGGGGATGCGGCATCGTGTTGGCCTGCACTTAAATTGAAGCGAAACGGCTGGCGCAGAAAGTGTGGTGCATTGCGCAAAATTCGCACCGCCCCAGTCGAGGGGCCTTCTGCAGCGCAAGGCGCATCCTCTCCTACTTTCCGGGGAGGGGCCGTAAAATTGGGTACGATCTGCAATGATCCCAGGGTCGATATCTTGGCCAGCGCACGCCTGAGATTCTTAGCACTGAACTTGGTAACTCGGCCCTTGCTGTGCAGCTGGCAAGACTCGAGATTTGCGGCTGTGCGAAGTCCATGGAATCGGGCCTACGTGGCACTCAGGAGCCCCAAAGGGTGTGCCTCACTGCCTGAAACTTCTGTTCCCCGCCCATGGACCTCTAGGAGAAACCTACATGCAAGTCACCGCAGCGCAAGGCTGGAATCTGAGTGGATGGGGCCAACAGGACAAGCACGTGTCATGGAGCGAAAGCATCCAACGCCATTCACCCACAGAATCCCAGCAGCACCGACCGGCAACCTCATCGCGAAAAACGTCCGGTCGAGAAACCAGAGAAACAGGTCGGAGATTTCGGCCCTGCGCCCCCTTGAAACACTTTTGCAAGCTCTTGATGGGCACAGGCCAAATGTGTGAAACCCTCTGTGCTCTGAAAGCGACTCGGTGGCGATCACGCACCCATCCTCAGAGGGCAAACTGCTGGCACCAGGGCAAAAAGGTGCGGGAGGGGTATCGTGATACCCAACCAACAGGTGCTCCTAGCACACACTTGGGGACTTCCCAGGAATGGGTGGGCCACAAATTGTGAATTTTGACACTTACTCACAATAGGTGTGTGGTTTGCCGCAAACCAAGATGCGAAACAACTGCCGCCCAACTGTCCAGAGCGTGAACCTCATTTAAACAAATGGGAAGTAGGCAACCTCCGTAGCGATTGGGGCACCGAATTGCCAGCTGCTCACATCACCCGAGTCTTTGCAGCAACTTCAAGGCGACGGATGATCGAAACGCCACTTCTGACTGTCTGAAAGTCTCTTGGATCCCTTTCTGCGGACTCAATTCCTCGAGTGGTTATATATATATATAGATAGATAGATAGATAGATAGATAGATAGATAGATAGATAGATATAGATAGATATTCATACATATAGATAGATATATGTGTGTATATGCCTCGAACAATGGGCAACTTTACTGGTCTGCTGTTGACTTGAAGAGGACTTGGAGGCCTGGCACAATAATAACCCACCCGCGGCATGTGCTCGGATGCTCTGAGGTTCCTGCTGAGGAGGTGCAAACTCCATGTGCTTGCCCTGCAGGGCTTCAATTCAGGCATGGTGTCATAGAAAACAGGAAGTCTACTGGAAGTTGGCCAAGTACCCAACGAATCCAAGGATGTTGGCTACTTCCTGTAGAAATGCCTGTACCTCGTTTCCCAGCGTGAGTTGCACTGTTCTCACAAATGATCTTTTTGGGCTTCATGGCTATCTGTGGGATTTGTCAACCATTCGTCCCGCACATGTGATTTTCGTAGGACTATTCATGGGTGTTTGTCGGACGTCACCTGAGTGCTTGGAGAACATGGGTATGGGTGAAAATTAAGCCACCAGGGGACCGCAGGTTTTGGTCCATGTTTCTGTTTACCTGGGTTTCCATGCTTTTGTACCTATTTTTGACCCACAGCCACATGATGATGAATGATGATACAGGTACGACAGTCCGTCTGGGTTATTCTGACGAAGCGAGGCCTACTCCGAGTTTTGGCCTCAATGAAAAACTGCCATGGCCGTGGCTCTCTTAGTAACTCCAGCAACCCCCCCCTAGTAATGTATTGAAAAAAATGAAATCCACCCCCCTCCAAAACAAGTCCTCTTTGTCCCCTGGCAGTAATTTCCGCTGGAGAATGCGAAGGGGGAGTCCGGGGGATGAACTTCAAGGAGGTACCCTTTGTGAGCTTGTCAAATCTTGATTTGTTACGTGTAGTAAAGCTTGTTCCGTTTCAGGATAGCTCACTCTCCATGATTGTGGAAGAGAAACACATCTGACCATAAAAGTAATTCATGTTGGCACGCCTTGATTGAAGTGCGAGTAATAGCATTAGTGATTGAATTGTTTCGGGAGCAAACAGTGACTTTCTTGAGCTGGGGGGAGGTTACGAAGAGTGCCAAACACCGGATTGAGGGCTGTCATTTGGCCAAATCTTGTGGGTTCCTAATAGTATTGGTTGGCAGCTGGAAAAAGTGGGTCCTTTATAGGGAAGGGGGTGCTTTTTTTCTGCTAAGATTGAAGGTATGACCATGGCCCGCAGACCTTTTTGAACAGGTCTAGGGACCTTAGCTTGGGTTGGCCAACTGGGCAATCCCATGTAACATGTTGAAACCCCAAACGTGTTTAAACAACACGAACAAGGATCCGTCTGTTATTTTCTGCAATACGCTCACCATGCTCAAAGACCCCAGAAAATGATTCTTGATCAGTCGGTTGCAAAGCACACCCGGCTCCCCTACATTCCCCCGGAGGAAGTAAGGGAAACGACGAGAACAAAAAGCTCCAATGTGGTAGAAACCCTCTTTCAGGTTCTGCGGGGCTCCCTCTTCCCAACATCCCAAGGAAACCCACTTGAACCACCCGGAAAATCTTAGGAGCCCTTCAAAAGCTTGCTCTGTCCGATCCGTGCCTCCTTGTCCAAGAAGGAGGACCTCGCTCGCTGAATCGCGCGCGGAGGAGTTTGGCTCATTCACGCGAGCACCGCCCGGTTCACCCATTGACTCCAAGATGTTTGTCTAAGCAGGTAGAACCACCTAAGTGCCCAATGGGGGCTGCTTGAGGAATGGTTTCGGCTGAAGGGAAACCAAAGGAAATAGAGAACCCCATCCCTCGGAATGGATTGCAAGGGAATTCAAACACAGTGGTAACTCCCTTTGGTTGTTACGTACATGCCAGGCACAAGACTAGCAAGGATTTATTCTGGCTGGATACTGAGAGACCAAAGGTTTGGTGAGAATCTTTGTAGGCCCAATGCCAAGTAAACCCCGCGACGGGGAAACAGCCGACCCGATACGTTCACTTCTAGTGCTTGTCAAGCGCAAGTTTATGTTCTACCCTGTTCTATCCCTATTCAGCTTTCTGGCGCAACGTAAGCTGGATACTGATGCAACTGTGTAACTTGATGGGTCAAACCCTAAACCAGGTCATGACCTCCCCCCAGACCTCTGTGGATGTCCAGCGGAAAACAGGGCTCCCTTGATATTTATCGAAGGCAAAGCCCCTGAAACAAAAATGGTTAAACGAAAACCCTCTCGAAAAACATGAACAAAGGGCACCATCTTAGGTCATGACACTCGGAGTCTCAAGAATCCCAGCTAAGAGTCACCGCAACGTCAATCAGGCTTTGATTAAAACAAGAGAGAGAGAGAGAGAGAGAGAGAGAGAGAGAGAGAGAGAGAGAGAGAGAGAGAGAGAGAGAGAGAGAGAGAGAGAGAGAGAGAGAGAGAGAGAGAGAGAGAGAGAGAGAGAGAGAGAGAGAGAGAGAGAGAGAGAGAGAGAGGGAGAGGGGGAGGGAGAGAGAGAGAGAGACAAAGAACCCCCTCAATCTAACATGGACCAATTCCTTTTTGAGACCTTCTGCCCCACCCTCGCTCAGTGAGGCCCAGGCTTCACGTACGCCGGCGGGGAGGACACCTTGTTCGCCTCGCATTCGCATCGAATTTGCGGCGATCGGCGAATCTAAGTGGGACCTGAGCCGACATCAATATCTGAAAGATATCTGAAAGGCCCATGTGGGGCGGACAATGTCCCACTTTCACAGAAACCCAGCCCAAAGACGTACCCACCACGAATTAAAAGGTCAGACATCCCAAATTGTTCATTGGGCCCTCATCTTGGCTTCAACGGAGCGCGCGGGACGCACAAATTTGTAGGTCCCCTCAAGCCACTTTCACCCGGATCCTTGCCTCAATCAGCCTACAAGAGTGTATGGTTCGATGCCCACACAAAAGAATCGGCCAAAACTGAGCTCCCGTCCCCTCTTATCACCCCAAACGAACCACAGACGATCCTTTGGAATAATTCGCATGCGCAATGATCTTCTACTTTTCCAGGGTTGCTCTGAAAACTCCCCAGCACAAGGGCACACAGTTATGGCAACCTTTGCTTCTACCCTTGGGTGTTCATCGCATCTCTTCAGAATGGCTAGCACCAAAATGAAAGCAGGGCAGTGTGCCCTCTTGATCCTTACCAACAAGGGGAAACAAACAATGGCAAACGCTCCGGCGGATCCCTGGTTCCTTCCTCAGCAAAAGGGTTGGGTGTTTCTCGAAAAAAGGGCAGCCTCATGGCTGGTTTCCCTTTTGGTTCCGGCGAAAAGTGGCGCCCCTACATGTTTTGAGAAACCCCAACAAGGGAGCGCCCCCTACCCTGTCCACCGGACTCGCCGTTTTCCCTCATGCCTCCTTTGCCGCCAGGAGCGCCGAGAGTTCGCTGGCATGGGGTGCCAGCAGAGACATCCAGTCGGTGCCGCCTGCGCGGCTCACAGACCCGCCCTTTGGAGAAAGTCCCCAAACACCCCCAAAAACACACACAGACACAACAGACACAACAGACACAACAGACACAACACACACGCAGACACACAGACACAACAGACACACAGACGCACAGACACACAGACGCACAGACACACAGACACAACAGACACATACATGGAGGGGGGGTGTTCGAAAATAGATTGCCCAACTGGTACAGGATTTCGTCCATGCAAAGCAGGCGGAACAGGGCTCCCATACAGCAAGTCGAAATAAACAAAACAAGAATATGTCAAACCATCTATGTGGGTTGAGCACTGAAAATAAGACTAGTGGAGGGGGGCCCTTACAGGAACCTTTTCCACCAACACAGGATCACAAACGGAAAACCTTGAGACTGAAAAAGTTAGAAACACAAAGCGAGGTTTTAAAACTTGATAAATGAGCCCCCCCCCCCTCCGGACCCTTCCGAAGTATCACAAAACACATACCACGCAAGTTTTCGATTATATAACACAGAAACCGACAAAAAGCACACTGTCCCACCCTTTTTGGGTGGTCTTCTTTCAGAAATCAAAGAAGAGAAACTAAGCTTGTTGGCGGGGGGGGCCCACAACTTTTTCGGGGAAGCACCCGTACCTCGAGTCGAGTTCCCCGCGAAATCCACTGCCGGATCCATCGCATGCCGAAGCGCCTCCCATCCCGAAGTTCGACAGGCCAGGGGCCTGGCGGAAGGCAAAGGCAGAAGGTGCCACCTGTTGAAACCACCCACGGTATTTTGAAGAATCGCCGCTTGGGCCGGCTTTTTTCTTTTTCACAAACCCTCACATGCATTGGTTTGATTTGTAGAACCCAAACCAAGCAACAATGTGGTCAAAGTTGGAAAGCTTCCCTTTGAAGCTTAAAAACTGGAGAAGACCCAAGCTGTGCACTAACAAACAGGTGGAGTGGATCCTGCCGATCTGCGCACCCCCACCTCCTTCCCCTCAAAAGCCGAGCGTCGGTGTCAACCCGGTCTCTGAAGCATGGTTTCAACACGGCAGGCGCACTCCAGAAACCTTCGCCATATAGCCTCAGCAGGGCTCGAACCCCATCTGCCCACACGAGTGGCTCGCGGTCCCCGTCTTTTTGTCTTTTGGTGCGGAGGACATTGAAAGGAAACAAAGCCTGGCAAGCAGCAGCATGCAAGATGCTTTGCAGATATACCAAAGCATGAAGCTCTTAGGGTGGCAGCAGTGCCAAATGAGCCTGGGCACCAAGGAAGATTGTGCTGAGTGTTTGTGGGAAAGTGGGTGCCCCCCCGTCTCATTCTCCCCAATTGTTTGTCAGTTGCTCAAATGGCCATGGGTCAAAATTTAAATCGTACCCCCAGTTAAACATCAACCAATCCAACCACTAAAATAGGTAGCCAAAAATGGGTGGCGCCCCTACCCCAAAATGGGATCCCATGGGTTTTGACCTGCAGCCAAATGATTGCGGCCAGTCCACCAGAAAAAAAAAACACCGACGTCATGTTCAGACGTAGTGGTTGCTCTGTGCAAACGCGGCTGTAGTACGGCTGTAGTGAATCAACGTTCTGCCAGCTGTACAAATTCCTTTCGTCAACATGTGCGGGGTCTGGAAGGATGAAGAAAACTCCATCCCCATGGTGGCCAGCCGAAATCATCTCGAGCTTTGGCCTCTCCCTTCATCCTTTTCTTCACTGGCTAGGTCCTCCAGTAGAGAGGTTAGAATAAGGGTACCCCTTTTTTCTGTAGTCTAAGTTAGTAGGGGAACCCTCCCCCAAAAAGGGTACAAGGGCACTACCGGGGGACCTAGCAACTGGACTGGGCTCTTCAAAACTGAGTTGCCCTTCCCCCTGAGCACAAGGTCTAACCTTGTGTAGGTTGAACGGGAAAGCCATCGTTTCCAAAGGCGGAAGGGGCGATTTGCTCACACCAAAGACCAGCCGTGAAAGTTGCAGGTCAACCATAATCCCGTTGAAACGCCTTTTTGGTTCAACTTCATTGGCTTTACTATAACGCCACTTAAACCCAAGTACTTACATATGGCCCTATTGGTTTTGGGCGCGCAATTGTCTAATTCAGCCACCGGTTGAGTCCCGCGGGAAGTCACAACCACCGGGCGGGGCTTAGCGCTAAGGCCCCCCGCCCTCCTTCTTCCCCTCCTTCTGCTCCTATCGGCGAGAAGGAGAGCAGACAAGCTACGTTGCCATTCGGAGATGTGCCACTCGGATCTTCGGGGATTTCTCAAAAAAAAGAGTTTAGGGTGGGCTGCTAGGGTGTATTGTTTGTGTGTTTAGGGCTGGTTGGGCTGGTTGGGCTGTTAACCTCATGGGCTGCTGAGTCTATCTGAACCAAACTCTTTGGGCCTTTCGCCACTCAGAATGACTCTTGCAATGTTCTCTAGAGAATCTTTCATTCAAGGTGGGTGCAAACAAACCTCAAACCTGCCGAAGGCATGCGGGGGGAAGACGGGAATCCAGGATCTCGATTTGGATTGCGTCAAAACGTTACGGCACCTCTCCAAATGGCTGCCTTCATGCTGTGTTCTTTTTGAAAGCCACAATTGTTTTGATAGCTTAGAGGTGATGTGAAAAGCTGCTGGCCACACCAGACACAAAGAAACCCATGGTGATCTACGAGAGAGGCGTCGCAGAGGTCGCATCTTGCTGATCCACAGGATACCTGTACGTGCATCTGTGTATGTGTACATTTACATATATATATATATATGTACACATACATGCAAATGGCTGTGGGCCAAAACCCCGTACCCCTGGTGAACGTCAAAAGAGGTGGCAAATGGATGTTCATCCACCCCAAAATGGAGCCATAGGTTCTGCCCCATGGCCCTTGCCATATGTGTACTGACCCCAGGCCAAAAAACACCAAAACAAAAACGGCTTGAAATTCATTCACCCCGCGAGTTGCCCCAAAAAAAACACCGACAAAAAACGACCCCCAAGCGAACGAGAATCGCGCACAGCGAGAGGGACCCGCCCAAAGCGCGGATCGAGCCTTGGCCGCCTTCGCCGCCTCGGGGCGGAAGATGGGCCTCTTCTCGGGGTCTTGTTCGTGGAGCACCTCGCGGGAGGCGCCGGGAGCCGGGAGGCGCCTCGCCAGGAAGGTCGGGCGAGAAGTTGGCCATGGGCCAAAATGCAAATCGGTTAGGCCCCAGTGAACATCAACCAATCCACTAAAATAGGAAGCCTAAAATGGGTGGTGCACCTCAGAATGGTACCATTGGTTTTGATCCACAGCCGTTTCACTCCTCCCCCCACCCCTACAATATGAGTGAGGTGCCCTCTCGTCCCAAAACTTCGGACGTGCGGAAAAAACAAATAAAAAATAAAATCCTAGTAAGGTGTCTTGCCCCCCCCCCCCCGGCGAGCAAAAACCTTTTCGAAAAGAACTTCGGGGCGCCGAAGTTAACCCTTGCAAGGGCTAGGGGTTCGAATTGGGTGTAGCAACCACTTAGCCTAAGACGACCATCTACGGGGAGGAAACTTAAGGCCCCCTACGCAAGGAGGCGGGTCTGAGAACTCTTCTACCCCCAGGGTAGAAGGGGCCTCATGTATATGGCCATGGGGCATAACCTATGTTTCCATTTTGGGGTGGATGAACATCCTTCTTCTTTGCCAGCGATTTGTTGATGTTCACCGGGGGTACAGGGTTTTGACACACAAACATATCCTTGCTCCAAGCAGGGGGGGGGCAACAAAGCATTGCAAGGGCCTGAAAAAAATTCCCCATGCTTCTCTCATGGCAAGACCATCCCCAGCAAAACCCGCATCTACTAACACTATCAAAGTCGATGGCCCCGTTTTGTACGCGTGGGGAACTGTGCCATCTACTTTTGCCTGACTTCCAACGTCAAAGTCGATTCGGGGTAACTTTCAGCTGAGCCTTTCAACTCATGGCTCTTCCCTCTCAGTTGATGGCAGATGGCTCTTGCGCTCTTCATCTCTTTTTGGCCCTCCAAAAAAGACAGTCCACAAGAAAAATTGGGTCTCATCTGCTTTCACCCCTTCATCTGGAGGTTTCTTTCACCCCTTGGCCTGGAGGTTTCCTTCACCCCTCGGTTTTCAGCTGGACCCGCTTCTTTTGCCGTTTACGGGCCCCCCACCGCGGAGCTGCTGAAGTGCTGCACCAACTCCTCGCCCCGGAGAGGGGAGGAAGCTCGAACGATGCCGCGTGTTCAAAATTGAAACGCCCAGACCGTTTAATTTCTCTGGAGGTATCTTCCCCATTCTTAACCCAGGGAGCCGGGTTCTGGAAAACCTGCGGAAGCCCAGAAGAAAGGGATCCAGTGTTTGAAAAGAACGATGGTTGAAAAGAATGGGGAGTCAACCCCTAGAATTTCGTGAGCTTTCAGGGCTCCCTCGGATTTTCTTTCAGCTCTCCTGGTTTGCTTGGGAGTCAAGGGGGAGAAAGAAAAGAACAGGGGGGAGCCGACGAGTTCGCCCCAAGGGGCGTCTTTAGGTGGCCTTCTCCGCCTTTTGGAGTCATGAGTCGATGAAACGAGTTTGGTTCCTCAGAAACCAAAAAACGGGCTCCCCAGGCTTCTTCTTCCTGACATGGCCATGGGTCAAAATCCAAATCGTACCCCCAGTGAACATCCCAATCCCCACATCACTAAAATAGGTTCTAAAATGGGTGGTGTACCTACCCCAAAATGGTACCATTGGTTTTGGCCCACAGCCACATTGTTTTAACCCGATATTAAAATGGTCATCATCCCAGAACCATGTAAAGAATTAAGAAGGCGGCCGCAGCTATTTGTGGTTGGGATTGTCCCTTACTAACCTTCATCTACCTGGGTTTTGAGCACGCGGCTCACATTCTTTTGTGTGTCTCCGAAGGGGCACAACACGGAAGCTCTGGGCTGAGACATCTTCCGGTGTCCCTAACCAATTCCAACACAAAATGCCGCAACAACAGACACACACGCCCAGAAAACTCATCCCACCTTCACGCCCTGATACATTCCGATCAGAACACCACCCAAACCTATGACACTGAAACCATCAGGATGACAAATGATGAATCCAAAAGCTCAGATCCAGTCGACTTGCTAAGAATCTAGTCTAAGAACTGAGTCTACCCCTAAGTTTGTCAGAGTGCAGGTCTGTCAAAATAGGGGACCCAAAAATGGTGCTCCCCCCCTACCAAAAAAAAGAAGCAAACACACACACACACACACACACACACACACACACACACACACACACACACACACACACACACACACACACACACACACACACACACACACACACACACACACACACACACACACACACACACACACACACACACACACACACACCACACACGCACGCACGCACGCACGCACGCACGCACGCACGCACGCACGCACGCACGCACGCACGCACGCACGCACGCACGCACGCACGCACCCACCCACACACACACACACACACACACACATGTCCACTTCAAATACGATCCCAAAACGAGACTCATTTAGAGAGCCATCATCTTGAAAAGTTGATGTCTAAAAACGGACACATGACCCGCGGACAATATTGCTTGCTTCCCGAGAAGGACATGGGAAACTTGGTGGGCCCCAGGATTCTTTGGGGTATGTGTCCAAATAGGGATTCGGACCAAACAACTGGGTGGTTTCGCTGGTGGCTTCCGCCCGCAGATTTTCCTGAAGGCTTCAAAACCTAAACCCACCTCAACCTGAAACCACCCTCAAGCAACCCTAACCAACCCTTTTTGGCACCCTTTTTCAAAACACACAAACCCAAGAGACCACCACTTGCCGGGACATCCCTCGGTCCTCATGGCCCTGGAAGCGGGCATAGCTCACGCCAGGCGCCTGACCGAAAACTGGCAGCCAGTGCGCCGGTTTAGAGGGCGCCGCTGTTGGGGGGTGGACCGGTCTTAAAGGGAGACAACTTGGCCCTCCGTGTCCTTCTTCTTTTTGAGGCCCGCTCTTTTCTATCGAGTTCTTGTGAGTTTTCTATGTGAACATTGAAGCTTACCTTTGGTCGGGTTGAAACGGCATTGTTTAAAATGCCCAGATGGTATCGCAAGGGCTTCCACTCTGTTTAGGTGGCAGTGGTAAGGTCGGCTTCGACACCTTCAAACCGCGTTGCTCCGAATCCCTGGTAGGAAGACAAAAAATAGTTCCTGGCAATGACAACCATGTGGGCATCATTGGCATGGAGCGCTTTGTGTGCACCAATCCTTAGCCTTGGGAGAACTGACAGCAAGGAAACGTGCCAGACTACATAATTCATCCTTTTGGAAGTGATGCGTGCGCGCATGTTCCACAGTTCACCAACACGAGATCGAGTGTTTGCCATCAGCCAGGTGACAGACTGGTTTAGGAAACGGTTTGGTTCACTGTGACCAACAGAAAAGCCTCCTCGTGGATGTTGCTGGGTTCGGGAAAAGGGTTCATGTTGCAGGGGTACTCTAGCACAAACACCCCCCCATTTGAGCATCGTGGTTTGGGTCCAAGCAGCCACACGCAGAAGCTAACCCTGGAAGTGAGGATCCCCAGCTTTGCCGCATCTGACTGATTCATGCAGCCGGGCTGACAGGTGCCCAATGTCCAATGTCCCAATCTCCTTTCACAAGGTTGGAAACACGCATGTTCCACCTGCCAACAAACAAATCGCTGCCTTGAGCAGGTTGAATCAGTCCACCAGAAAATCCGACTTTTAGATGGTCAACCGGAAAATCCAGCAAGTGGAATCCACTTGATAAACTTGTTTGGAGACAAATATCGACACCCAAGAAGGCAAAGATTTTGCAAGTAGCTGTGGAAGATGCAGAGCTTAAACAAGCTGCGCTCTTCTTGGAGGTGCCACGCTCTGCGGTTGCAATCGAAGGGACGCCACCTGTTTTGCAAGGTTCCCCTGGAAGACAAACCTATGCCTAACCAGCAACGCAACCCGCCCCAGTCCACGCGGCCACAACACCCACCAGAGGACCGCATGGTCAAGTTCCATGTTAGCGGATGCGAGGGTATCCAGTGACTTTGCTTGCGTTACGGCTGTTAGCTGGTCCTGCATTGCATGGAGCGTGGTCCAGGAACCTTTTCACGGAAAATCAAGTCTCGAAGCAAATGGGTGTGGCAACCAAAAGGAAAACCCCCATCTGATGTAGAGGGTTGCCCACAGAAAAGGCATGGGCCGATTTTAGGGCAGAACAGAAGTGGGGCTGCCGCCTCCACAGGGAGTCTCCTGATTTGTCAAAAGATGGGCAAAAGTAGAATCTCCTATACACTGTGGATGGACAAAATCAGTTGGTGGTGCTTTATCTCAGGATTTCCACGGCGAGGTGGAGTCTGCCCATCAGCAAACGTCAGGCTCTAACCAGAGACCTCGTCAAATCCGCCCGCCTTGGTCTGGGACTTGCTCATGAACTCTCGCCAGTACCCGCTCTTCACCTCACGGTAGCAAACGAGAAGAACAACTCGCGGCGAGCACTTCATGTTGAGAAGGCTGCCTAGATTCCTTCTGAAATATCACCCCAAGAGTTCCGCCTTTGCAACGGGGATGCCAAAAAGGGCGCCCAAGTTTGACCCGCAACCTCTTCAAACTGGAGTCTCGGACCCTCATCAAAATATGGGGACCATCGCATGGGCCCGGTTCTAAATTGGTGGGGGAAACCCCCCTTTTGGGCGTCCTCTCGAGATCTCCAAAAAAGGAGGCCGCAGGTTGGGTGCCGGAACTGCCCTCCAAGCTTTCGGTGAAGTCAAGGCCAAACCGCCAAACCCAGGCCCGAGCCATCACGAAGAGCTTGTGCACATCCTAGGCGCGCGTGAGTGACATGGCTTTGAAAAAACCGGGGTGGGGCTTTCCGCCAGAACATCAGGATCCCCATGGGCAAAGTGGCGACCGGTTTTTCTTTGGGCGGATCTCTAGGGGAAATCCCTGAGAAAGGAAGAGCAGAAACCACTGGAGCTCTGGCAAAGCACAAGAAGCAGGCCGTGGAATACTCAAGCGCCGGACAAAGAGGCGCTGGCTGAGCCGAGCCGTCCACCTTTGTCTCGTCTCCAACAAGTCTTCCGAGTAGCATGAGAATCGATGGTAATTAGAGTCGGACTGCTCTCCCCCGTGCTCAATGGCAGAAGGGAGGCACCGCTCTCAAAACAAAATGACTAGATTGGCATACGCCATACATCGCGCTGAGGCGTTCCACTGAGCATCTCCTCTAGGCGCACAAATGCGTTGCTTGTGCAAGTTTGTGCCCAAACCTGTGGCCAATGCCATATTTCACGCCCAACTGATGTTCAGAAGGGCGGCATACCGGGCCTCAGGCCCGCAGGTGCCTGTCCTCCAAATCGCTGGTCGCAGCGGAGTCGCTGTCGCTGTGCTGCGTGTCCGGCTCCACCGCCGCGTTGTCGAAGAAGTGGCTGATGATGCGGGAGGAGGAGCGCTCATTGGCCCTCTGGGCCTAGGATCGGATCTGAGACCGAAGGATCTCGGGCCGACCGCGTCTTTTGATAGATGCGCCTACCATGGCCAAAGAGACAACTCCTCAAAAAAAAAAGCGGCGTCGCTCTTCTCCTTCTCTTTTTTTTCTGGGGCAGTTGAATTGATTACCCAGGGCATCACGTGCGTCTGTGTGTGTGTGTGTGTGCAAGACCCATTCATCGGAGGGTAGCCCCTTTTGCCGAGGGGCCAGGCATTTGTCCAATAAGAGTGTCTCTCAAAATGGTGGACCGTCTTTTGGTTGGAACTTACCAAAAGGGAGAAGGAACAAAAAGAGATTGCAGGGGAGTAGACGCAAACGGAGCTTGCTCTGAGCACTGGACCATCTCCTCCGCCTCTACCTCCGCATCCTCCTCTTTGTCCTTGATTTCTGCTGGGACGCGAGAGGATCCGTAGTGCTGGGGGATTTTCAGGAGGAAGAAGAGGAGAGCTAAGCTGGCATAGCCAACCTGAAAGGCACAGGCGGACAAGCCAAAGGGTTGCTCAGGGCCACCCATGTAGTTCTTGAAGCTAAGGTCCGCCTTCTCTTGGTGTATGAGTCCTGGTCTTGGGCCAAAATCATGCTTGAACCTGGCCCTGGGGAAGCCACGTTTTTTCAAAGCCAAAGGGTGGATATTTCAAGGTTTTTGCCACCCACCTGGTGCCGCCAGAACTGCCCCGACGATGGCCCAAATGCCTGCTTGCATGAAGCGCCGGTCGATGACGTGAATGCCCATGGAGGTCCAGATGACGCAAACCAGCAAGGCTCCGTAGGACAGGGCCGCGAGCCCGGGCTTCTTCTCCTTCACCCCGGAGTCGATCGACATGATCCAATCAGCCGTAGAGGGAAAAAGGCCAATGATGGCGGCTGGGATGTGTCGGTTGTGGATGATATTGAAGGCATCCTGGTTGATCGAAAGCCCGATGAAGAGAATGATGGGGGCGGTGGCCCAGGGGGGCAGCACCGCGTTCGCGGCCGCGAACATGCCGGTGGCTGCCAGGAAACAAAAGAGGATGCAGTTCAAGAAGGAGTAGTAAATCTTGCCACCCTGGTTCTTGAACTGTGGATGTCCGCAGTAGACGCAGGTGCCAAATGGTGAGCCAAAGAGCCCAGCCACCACAGTGGTGAGCCCATCTACGATCAAGCACTCCCGGATTGAGAACCTCGGTCCAAAAAAGAAGAAAAGGGCGCCAAAAAAAAAGGTCGGCTCCACAAACCACGTGGGCCGGCAAACATTTTTGTGTACGCCCCCTAGTAAAACCCGACTAAAGCCCCCAGAGTTCGAGCCACATGTCCCCTGCCGAATGCGCCGAGTAGGTGGAGACCAAGGTGTTCACGGCCCCAACGAAGGCCACGGGCAGAATCACCGCCAAGTTGTTGGCGGCGACCTCGGGGATCTGCGCGAAGGCGGAAGGGCTCAGCATCTGCGGCATGTAGAAACTGAAGCCCTGCATCGCCTCCTTCGGAAATGGAGGGCGGGTCGCTCTTTTAGAGAAAACCCGCCAAGATCGTCGGTTTGAAACATGGAGCTGAACAAGCGTCGCTTTTTCTTTTTGGATGAAACCCGCCAAAATGGGGGGGGTGGTTTCCCTAAAGCCGCCCCAAGAGGGTGCCCTTTGAAAAACCAAATCGGGAAAAGCGGAATTCTTCAGTGGCATGTCGGATGTCGAATCAACTTTGTCTTGACTGGGCCAAAACGTTGCATGATACAACCACCTCAACGATCCCCTCTTTTGCAAGTCTAAGTCATCCGTTGGCTCCTGGACAGCTTCCGGCGTGCCCCCCGTGGGATTCTCACCCTCTGGCCAACCTTCGAAGGAAAGCCACCCGGTCAAGCTCCCGACGAGCATCACCGCCACTGCCGCCTGACAGACGAACAAAAACATAGAAAGGAACAGCAATGTGGAAGAACAAACACACTTGATGAAAAAATAGCACAAGTTCTATCTCTATATTCACCTGTGTATGTATATATATATATGTATTTATTTATTTATGGTTCCCACAAGCGGCTGCTTCGTGGGAAACATATTGTTGCAAAGTCTGCCGCAGGGCAGCTGAAGGTTTGGCTTAAGGTGGGGTTTGAGTTTGGATTGGCTTGGGTTTGGCTTCGAATTGACTCAGGGTTGGTTAAAAAGGTTGATTTGAGGTTGGTGTAGTCGCGGGTGTGGGAAGAGAGCGGTCAAGAGTTCCGAACGCCCCACCTACTCTGAAATGCCCCACCCTCAAATTCGGGGAGGGGATTTCGAACACCTGGCTCATTCTCGAACACCAGTTGCACTGGACTCAGCCAGCGGCTCGTTTTCGAAAATATAGCCGGGTTGTGCAATGGGGGTGACTGCCTGGTGCCAGCCACACGGGGGCAAACGGGCACCCACCACACGGGCACATGGGCACGCGGGCACACGGGCACACGAGCACACGGGCACATGGGCACACTGGCGCGCGGGCGCGCGGGCACGCGGGTACGCACCAGCGAGGGTGAAACGGTTTAGGACATTTGTTGGTTTAGGTTCTAGGATCAACACGATTGTAGGGCTCGGGTTTAGGTTCAGGCCCAGCACGTTTTAGGGTTTAGGTCTTAGGGTTTAGGTTGAGGTGTTGGTTAAGGGTGTAAGGTTTAGGGTCAGCACAGTTTAAGGTTTTCATTCCGGGTCAACACGGTTTTGGGTTTTGGTTTAAGGTTTCCTTTAGGGTTTAGGCTTCATTTAGGGGTTAACATAGTTTAGAGCCCTGGTTTCGTTTTCGGGCCAACACGGCTTCTGGCTTTGTCATGTGTCTGCCTTGAGCAAAAGCGCGTTCAAAAACGAGAACGTTCCCCGCGTTCAAAAACGAGCCGCAACACGCGCTCAAGAACGAGGTGCTTCCCTGGAAGTTTCCGGTGCTTCTTCTTTGTCACCCCTTGCCAACGTGCCAAGCACATTGCATCCAAGCAATTAATTGCTGGTTATCAGCAGGGAAGGGAATGACCCCTATGGCTTCCTTGAAGGGAAACCCTGGCTTCATTCCCAAAACGCTGCAGCATTCCCTACTGAGCACCAAGGTAAGTAGCACTTTGCGATTCTTGGCTCAGGCGGCACCCCCGAAGTCATTGCGCAATGTGCTGCTGAAACAGGCGGCCGGATGCAGTCGCTCGACATACCGGGCTCAACGCAGACGAAAACTACGAGCAACTGCGCGAACTGGCCACTCCAAAACTCACTGGCTCAAAGTCCACAAGAAGTTTGGCTTTTTACAACGAACATTTACAGAACTCTTTTCCATTTTGTTGCGCTTTGACGGCCTCGGGCGAAGTTAACTTGCTCGCCACCAGAGTAAAGAAAACAACTCGTCGCCCAAGGAGTTTGGGATAAAATAAGCTGCTTGCACCTGGAACTTGTCTCACTTCCAGACTTCCAGGAACGAGCCTTGTCCCGAGACCAGGCAAATGCCGCGTCGCATAAAACTGTCTGCAGCTTGCTTCGCACGGATCGCGGTCCCTACACGCCGCTGGTCAAGCTGCAGCGAACGCAGCAGCTCATTGGACAAAGGGTCAAAGACAAGGGAAACAAAGCGAGCGTGAAAGTCCAGATATGTATACATATGTTACTGGGCTGCCCTCAAATCCCTCGCTAAAAGTTAAACTTGTTGTGGGTTAAATGGAAATCCCCACTAAACACTAAAAGCTAAAAAGCTAAGGGGATGGCTGGGAGCCACCAAGATTATATGCATGTACGTGTGTGTACGTGTGTGTACGTGTACGTGTACGTGTACGTGTACGTGTACGTGTACGTGTACGTGTACGTGTACGTGTACGTGTACGTGTACGTGTACGTGTACGTGTACGTGTACGTGTACGTGTACGTGTACGTGTACGTGTACGTGTACGTGTACACGTGTACGTGTACGTCGTACGTTTGTGTTGTACGTGTACGTGCGTGTGCGCTGTGCTGCGCGTGCGCGTGCGCGTGCGCGTGTGCGTGCTGTACGTGCGTGTGCGTGTGTCCGGTGTGTCTGTGTGTGTCTGTGTGTCTGTGTGTCTGTGGTGTCTGTGTGTCTGTGTGCTGTGTGTCGTGTGTCTGTGTGTGTGTCTGTGTGTCTGGTGTCTCTGTGTGTGTCTGTGTGTCTGTGTGTCTGTGTGTCTGTGTGTCTGTGTGTCTGTGTGTCTGTGTGTCTGTGTGTCTGTGTGTCTGTGTGTCTGTGTGTCTGTGTGTCTGTGTGTCTGTGTGTCTGTGTGTCTGTGTGTCTGTGTGTCTGTGTGTCTGGTGTCTGTGTGTCTGTGTGTCTGTGTGTCTGTGTGTCTGTGTGTCTGTGTGTCTGTGTGTCTGTGTGTCTGTGTGTCTGTGTGTCTGTGTGTCTGTGTGTCTGTGTGTCTGTGTGTCTGTGTGTCTGTGTGTCTGTGTGGCTGTGTGTCTGTGTGGCTGTGTGTCTGTGTGTCTGTGTGTCTGTGTGTCTGTGTGTCTGTGTGTCTGTGTGTCTGTGTGTCTGTGTGTCTGTGTGTCTGTGTGTCTGTGTGTCTGTGTGTCTGTGTGTCTGTGTGTCTGTGTTTCTGTGTGTCTGTGTGTCTGTGTGTCTGTGTCTGTGTGTCTGTGTGTCTGTGTGTCTGTGTGTCTGTATGTCTGTGTGTCTGTGTGTCTGTGTGTCTGTGTGTCTGTGTGTCTGTGTGTCTGTGTGTCTGTGTGTCTGTGTGTCTGTGTGTCTGTGTGTCTGTGTGTCTGTGTGTCTGTGTGTCGGTGTGTCTGTTTGTCTGTGTGTCTGTGTGTCTGTGTGTCTGTGTGTCTGTGTGTCTGTGTGTCTGTGTGTCTGTGTGTCTGTGTGTCTGTGTGTCTGTGTGTCTGTGTGCCCGTGTGTCCGTGTGTCCGTGTGTCCGTGTGTCCGTGTGTCTGTGTGTCTGTGTGTGTCTGTGTGTTTGTGTGTCTGTGTGTCTGTGTGTCTGTGTGCCTGTGTGTTTGTGTGTTTGTGTGTCTGTGTGTCGGTGTGTCTGTGTGCCTGTGTGTCTGTGTGTTTGTGTGTCTGTGTGTCGGTGTGTCTGTGTGTCTGAGTGTCTGTGTGTCTGTGTGTCTGTGTGTTTGTGTGTCTGTGT